CTGCTGGCCACCGGCGGGCCACAACAGCCAATGGCACAACCTTTCCTAATGCTGGTGTGGGAAACTGCCAGGCAGGCTGCAGGGAGGAATCAAGTGAGGGCCTAGCTTGGAATCCTTGAGCAGCCACAAACGTATAAGCTTCACCTCCCCCAAGATCCACGAAGCCTTATTCCAGCTATTCCCACAGGAGCACAAGTGAGGTTCTTGTAACATAGGATTTAAACCAGTGGTAGTCAACCTGGTCCGTACCGCCCACTAAGTGGGCGTTCCAGCTTTAATGGTGGGTGGTACAGGGTTTGTCCGATACTGAAGCACTTTCCTTTTTCAAATTTAATTGATTTCCCTACTTTATAAATCACCATTACTGTGGAACCGGTGGGCGGTTAGAAAATTTTACTACTAACAGAGATACAAAAGTGGGCGGTAGGTATAAAAAGGTTGACTACCCCTGATTTAAATTGACCAAATTTTTTAACATACTTTCTTATTTAAAGGGTTAATTTAATTATTTGGCATATATCTAATTAGAAAACTACATAATACTAGAACAGTAATTTGTGAGTTAATAATTGCGCATTGGTTATTTATTCGGTGATATCTGAGGCAGATATCACCGAATACTAATATTTAATCTTTACTTGCACAATAAAGCAGAGGTAAGTAAAGTTTCTTTGTATTAAAGTGGAATAAATGATTGAAGCAAATTTGACTGCCTTAAATGTTAATAGAAAGTTGTTCTTTTGGATATTAAAAAAGAATTTTTCTCTACTTTTAATTACTGTTCTGGGGAAAGACAGCATTCTAATATAATCGGTTCTTGTAGCATGTTGTCACATTAATTTGTTTTAAATAGATCAACACAACTGATCTGGATTAGCTTGAAAAATATTAAATGTCTGATTTTTATGTTCTCTATTTGAATAATACCACAATAATTTAGCTATACAATTATAGTACTGTTGTGGAGGAGTTGTATGAATTGTAGGAAAAATTATCTTTGGATTTCCAAAATTGTTATCTAGTTATTTTCATTTCCCTTTAAGAGAAAATAAATCTTGCCTCTCAGCTACATGATCTCTGGTGTAAGCATTCTATGTCATAAATGGTGGTCAGTCAACATCTGGCATTTCAGAATCTGAATCATGTTTATTCAAATATACAACATTGCCTTTATTTCAGGGTCAAGCCATCCAGAGACATTTTGGAGTTGGGAGGTCTTAATAAATTCAATAAAGTGAATAAATAATAAATGTTAGTGAAATGTGTAGGAGTGAGAGGAAAAAAATCCTTACTGTCTTGGCTTGTACGTAGACACCAAGAAATTGGAGATTTGGCATGTTAAATATTTTGGTTCACTGAAAGGATTGAAAAGTTGTTTTGTAATAGACTATAGTAGGAAGCTGTTTAGTTATTACAAATTTATAGCTGCTTTTCCACATGGTAAAGCAAAAGTGATATTTCTGTATATTAGTACTGTACAACAAAAAATTGAATTGTGATTAGAGGAGCTCCTTCCTCCAAATTTAAAGAAATAAATTCAAAATAAAATGTATAGAAAGATCTTAAGCATTTGTAGTATAAAAAGGAAACAATATCTGATTCAGATAGCTGTGATATGATGAGACCTGCTGCGTGGGATTGATGTGAGAATTCTGTATTCTCTTATCAGTGGGGAACTGACAAGAGAAAATCTTTTTCCTTCTGTAAGCTAGCAAAAAGATGAGTTGTTCTATGTTGCTGTTTCCTTTCATTTCAGAAAAACTTTGCATGAGAAATAATCTTAGTGACAGATAAATAATTACAGATGTATTTTTTAAAAATAAAAAACACGTTACAAAATAAATATAGTTTTTCTTAGCGGAAGCAGAAAAAAACTTGAGACTTGATGACATAATCCTGTCAACCAATTAAAGAGTAATTTAACCTTCTTTCCAAAATTTCCTTTTTCAACTGATTATATATTGTTTTATAAAAGTGTAATAGTTCCTTTTTCCCCTTTTGCTTTCAATGGACTCAAAATCTGATTACTGAAAAATTCCTATTCATTACTGTACTTGGAACCAATTACTTGAAATACTTGGAAACCTTTAAAAATATTGTAGGCAGCATACTTTAAAATTTTAATAGCTAGAGGTTTTAAAATGAATTTGACCTCAGCTCGTTATGATTCATCCATTAGTGTTACTGAAAGTAATAATTCTAAGTCTATATCCTGTATAATTTAGCTTCAGTTGGTCTAATTATATTCAAGTGGCTCATAGTTAAAAAAGGAGGAGAATTATGGAGCAAGTATTTCTCCATCATTGGTGCAAGAATTATGTATGGGAACAATTATATAACAAATAATATAATGCAATCAAACATGAAATGCCATTTAACTAGTTTTTGCCTCTAAACACATTATACATAAAGTTTATTTCTGGCTTCAAATCCAGTTAATTTCTTGTCTAAATGGAAAGTGGTGCAGTGATTAGAGTGCAGTACTACAGGCTACTTCTGCTAACTGCTGGCTGCCTGCAATTTGGCAGTTCAAATCTCACCAGGCTCAAGGTTGACTCAGCCTTCCATCCTTCTGAAGTGGGTAAAATGAGGACCCAAATTGTTGGGGGAAATAGATTGACTCTGTATACCACTTAGAGAGGGATGTAAATCACTGTAAAGTGGTATATAAATCTTAAGTGCTATTGCTATATAAATCTATTACTATGTTCAATATACTCTACATGAACCCCTGTATAATTATATTGCAGGAGCTTTATTTCAAGACCCTTGCTAAGCAAAAACAAAAAGAAGTAATGGAGAAGAATGGAAATAACCGGAAACTTCGAGTTTGTGTTGCTACATGTAACAGAGCAGATTATTCAAAATTGGCCCCAATTATGTTTGGCCTTAAAACAGAACCACAGTTCTTTGAACTGGATATTGTGGTTCTGGGCTCTCATCTGATTGATGACTATGGGTAAGAGGCATACTTTATTTCTTCAAACATGCTTAACTGGAATGGTGGGGACGGGTTTTCTTAAGATTGTTTTCTTTGTTCCAGGTTCAAAGATAGTCCTCACTTAATGGCCACAACTTGGCCTGAAATTTTGATTGTAAGTCATTTGGTCACCACCTTTAAAACCATTTTTATGATGGTTGTAAAGCAAGTAATTGTCATTAAGCAAACCACCTGATCATTAAGCAAATTGATCCTCCTGAATGGCATTTTTTGCCAGAAACTGACAAAAAAGTCACAAATCATAGTCATGCGACCATGGTACATTGTAACTAGTGGTAAATGTGAGCTGGTTATCAAATATCCCAGATCATGTCATCATGGGATGACAAGTGAAGTGAGCATGCAGTGGTCGTAACTCTGAGTCATAAGTAAAAAAAAATTAATATCTCTTAATTTTGATCAGTTGTTAAGTGGCTGCTCTTTAAATGAAGGTTACCTGTATTGATTTAGAATAAGTGCTGATCCTACAAATGTTATGGAGTTGTCAAAGCAAATAAGAACCAATTCATATATTTGAATCATTCCCCTCTTATAATAATATCAAGCTGGCTTACCAGGAATCCATACTTCAGATCTCTATCTTTTTAGGTTCAACAATGATAAAATTTCCTGCTCTAATGATTCTGAGAATAGCAACAGAAACCAGTGATAATCTGTCCCAGTTCTTCATTTTTGCAAAGATATCTTTGAAGAAATGTTTCCTCAAAATGTATGCATTTCTCAATAATTTCTGAAGTCAGCATTTCTTAATATTTGGGAACAGGTATCATGAGACTTAACAGATGCTTGCTATACTTTTCTTGGGGGGGGGGCACTGCAGATACAGATAGTTCTGGACTTATAGCAATTTATGTAGAGACCGTTCAGAGTTACAACGGAACTGGAAAAAAGTGACCTTATGACAGTTTTTCACACTTATGACTGTGGCAGCATCCCCATGGTCACATGATCAAAATTCAGGCACTTGGTAACTAAGAAGTATTTATCATAGTTACTATGTCCAGGGATCATGTGATCACTTTTTGCAACCTTCTGACAAGCAAGATTCACTTGACAACCATGTTACTACCTGCTAACACTTAACAACTGTGGCAAGAAAGGTTGTAAAATGGGAATAAAACTCACTTAACTGTCTTGCTTAGCAATGGACATTTTGGGCTCAACTGTTGTCATATGCCAAGGACTACCTGTACAGGCCTTAAAGAATGGTTTTATTAATAATAAAAGAGGTACTATTTTGTCACAGTCATATTATTATTACTATTATTAAATTTCTTCGGATCAAAATTGTTCATACTACTCATCATTGTCTTGTCAGAGAAATATATTGATTTTACCATTAATTTTAGAAAGTAGCATACTGAATCTGTCACTTTGATGTTAAAGTATATGTCAGTGCAGTCTGAGCACTTTTCCTCTTGCCTCTTTCCAGGAATACCTACCGTATGATTGAACAAGATGACTTTGACATCCACACCAGACTACATACAATAGTAAGAGGAGAAGATGAAGCAGCTATGGTAGAATCCGTTGGTCTTGCCTTAGTCAAGTTGCCCGATGTGCTCAATCGCCTGAAACCTGACATAATGATAGTCCATGGAGACCGGTTTGATGCTTTAGCGCTAGCTACATCTGCTGCCTTAATGAACATTCGAATTCTTCACATTGAAGGTGGAGAAGTCAGCGGGACCATAGATGATTCCATCAGGCACGCCATTACCAAGCTGGCTCATTACCACGTGTGTTGCACAAGAAGTGCAGAACAGCATTTGATCTCTATGTGTGAAGACCACGATCGCATCCTTCTGGCAGGATGCCCTTCGTATGATAAGCTGCTGTTTGCCAAAAATAAGGATTATATGAGCATTATTCGGATGTGGTTAGGTAAATGAGTTGTGTATGTATATGTAAGGCTACAATTTCATGAAGCAGAGTGCAACCCATCAAATTGGTATTGCCCCATAATCTTATTGTATAATCCCAGGCACATAACCAAAAGAGATTTATCTGTGGGGGTTTGCCATTATAGTTGATAGTTACAATTTGGTTTGATGTACCAAAAATGTTTGTCTTTGGATTATATATTAGAATTTATAATATATAAATTCCACAGCTGCACCATGGAACAGAAGTCTAGATTAATCTTATCAGTGTACTTTTCACATTATAATGTGAAAAAGGGATCTTATTACAGATTGTCCTTGACCTACAGTTGTAATTGAGTTTGGAATTATGACTGTGGTCATAAATTGAGACATCACATGACCAGATTTGACATTACAACTGTTTTTTCTGAATGTCATTAAGAGAACACTGTGGTCTTTAAATGAATACTGTGCTTATTGTTTTTTTGTAACTCAGTTTTGCTTTTTAAGTGTGTATGCATGCATTGAGTACATTTGCACTGTTTTCACAGGTGAAGACGTGAAGCCAAAAGAGTATATAATCGCTTTACAGCATCCTGTGACCACAGACATAAAACATTCTGTAAAGATGTTTGAATTGACTTTGGATGCCCTCATCTCTTTTAACAAGAGGACTTTGATTTTATTCCCAAATATTGATGCAGGTGAGTGATTGGACTGTTATGAATATGTTAACGCATATGTAAAAATATGTATAAAATTTAAGCAATAGTGCTATAATTATTATACTTTCACTTCTTTGACACAAATCCTTGATCATCAACAATACTTAGGACCACTAAGCAATGTGGTTGCAAAGTGGAATTCACATGATTGTGATGCTTAGTGACAGCAGTTCTGGGACTTTTAGTTGATGTTATTAAGCAAAATCTGCACTGTTATTAAATCCTGGTAGTTTCCCCATTGACTTTACTTGTGGAAGCTGGCAGTGAAGGTTGCAAATGGTAATTGTGTGACTGAGATATTGCATTGCCAAGCCTCCAGGCTGTGATCACATGACCCCAGGGATGCTGTAGTGGTTGGAGCTTTGAGGATGGTTCATAAGTACTGCTTATTCAGCACCATCGTAATTCAAATGTCACTGAACAAGTGATCGTTAAGCGACAACTCTCTCTAATGAATATTCATGACAATTCAGCTTCCTTTGTGTCCTCTGATACTTTATAAAACTTCCCCAAATTTCTATCCTCTTATGTAAAATGAAGTGTCGTGTTCCCCATCTAAAGTTTAAATCATCTTTAAGCCCACATTTGTTTTGCTCATAAAAGAGGGATTTAATTCCCAATCTAAGTCACATTCATTCTCTTTAATTTTTATTCAGATGTCGAATATATGATTAGGAACTAATCCAGGAATAAAACTATCTGGCAGATCCCAATTCTGTATCTGTTGGGTTGCTTCATATTAACACTGGAGATTTTTAGAAACTGGAATGCCTTTTTGAAAGCTAAAAAAAGACTCTTGAATTAAGTGGAAGCCTTTTTTTCTGCCCATGTAGTCAGACATTTCTTACACAAATATGCAGAATGTGGTACATAAAATGTCAACCTAGAAGCTGGTCTGAGCAAGGCCATTTTCTGAACTTCAATGTTGCCATACATGAGCTGAAGGATAGGGAGGGGGGACTAGAGGTAGATGGGGTTTGTAGCCAAAACAAAATACTGTATTTTTCGGAGTACAAGATGCACCTTTTTTCCCTCAAAAAAGAGGCTGAAAATCTGGGTGCATCTTATACACTGAATACAGCGTTTTTTTGCATCCTGAAGCCCCGCCCCCTTCACCAAAATGGCCATGCATAGCTTTTAAGAACTTTCAGAGTACTCAGTTTTGCCCCCACCAGCCCTCAGGAGCATTCCATAAGCCTCCTAAAAGCTATTCATGTCCTTTAAAAAAAAAGGGGGGGGGCCATTTTTGCCTCTTCAAAATCTTGGGGCGTCTAATACTCCAAAAAATATGGTACTTTCTCTTGGGAACCAAGGATGTTCCCACAGTGGTCGGAGGAGCGAAGTTACCAGGCAACTGGAAGATCGATGATTGCACCATGTGACTAATTATTTGCGGAAGATGGGAAACCTTTAATTTTAATTAGGTGAAAACCATGGAGATATTCTGAGTCAGTTTTCACCAGCCTGTGCCAATATGATATATCCACGTGATGGTGAACCTATGGCATGCGTGCCAGAAGTGGCACACAGAGCCATCTTTCTGGGCACATGAGCCATTTGCCCATTGCTCTTTTGGGTTCTGGCATGATGTCCAGTTGGTCTTCACATGCACAGGAACGCTGGAAACTGGAAGAACAGCGCCCGATGCGCATGTGCATGCCGGGAAGATGATCTTCTGGTGTCTGGCATGTGTATGCACACCGGCCACCTGGTCTTCCGGGTTCTGGCATGCATGCGCACGCGAAGACTAGCTGGCCGGTGCTGAAAACCGGAAGATCATCTTCCCGGCGTGTGCATGCGCAACGGGCAGCTGCTCTTCTGGTTTCTGGCACACACATGTGTGTGCTCCTGCTTCAGCACTCGGTGCCGAAAAGGTTCGCCAACACTGATATATCCAATAAACCAGTTCTTTGAGGAATCTACCTGCCTTGGAGTTCTATTTATTATGTGTATGTTATTTGGAACCCTGATATAAAGATCATCTTGAAAAGGAATTACAATAATTGATCAGATTCACCTCTGATTTCATTATGCAAAGTGGCTTGTAATGATTTCTATAAACCTTCATAGTCCTCGTACGCTTATTCAAAATACATTAAAAGTCTTATTGTTTTTTTTATCCTAGGGAGCAAAGAAATGGTTCGGGTAATGAGGAAGAAAGGTATTGAACATCACCCAAATTTCCGTGCAGTAAAAAATGTTCCCTTCGACCAGTTCATTCAGCTATTGGCTCATGCAGGCTGCATGATTGGGAACAGCAGCTGTGGCGTACGAGAAGTTGGGGCCTTTGGAACTCCTGTCATCAATCTTGGAACCCGTCAGATAGGGAGAGAAACAGGTATTTAAAAACGGCCTAGCACTAGGTTTCTTTGTTTTAATTGAAAACTTTCTGTAGCCGTGTCAAATTCTTTAGTGAGACTAAGGAAGAACATGCATTTTTCATACTAGAGATAACATTACTCTAGTCATGCTCTTAACTGGAACCTGAAATCTGTAGAGTGGAGAGAACTGTGTGACAAACTGAAAGCTATTGTTTATGTAGAATTGATATACTGTAGATAGTTGGCAATTTATGACTACAGTTGGGACCAGAATCTCCATGGCTAATCAAGACAGTTATTCAGTGAATTATGCCTGATTTTATAACCTTTTTTCTCATGGTTCTTAAGCGAATTACGGTAGCTGTTAAGAGAATCATGTGGTTAAGCAAATCTGGATTCCCCCCATTGACATTGCTTTTCAGAAGCTACTAGGAAGGTGGCAAATGGTGATCATATGATCCCCGGGACAGTGCAACCCTTGTAAATACATGCCAACTAACAAGCTCCAAAATGTTGGTCATGTGACCATGGGGATGCTGTGGTGGTTGAAAGTGTGAGGACTGGTTGTAAGTCCCCTTTTTCAGTATTGTTGTAACTTTGAACAGTCCCTAAACAAATGGTTGTAAGTCAAGGACTATTTGTAGTTAACATTTCCTAGGCAGTATAGAAAACAAGCTTTCTTCCTGAATATGACAAAACAAAGTTTTCAGCCACGAACCAAAATGTTGTTGGTGTTCAGGCTAATTTCCACATTGCACTTAATCTATCTCTTAGAACTCGACATTTCCATGTTTGTCCAGTAAATGTAGGCTGTTGCAGATGTACATGGTTTTGTGTTGGAGGATTTATGGTTATGTCCTGCAACTTTAGCAGCAGAGAGTAACATAGAGGAGAAAGGTCCAATTGTCAGGTGGCTAAAGAATGATGGTTGATTGGATAGTACAACATAAGGCCCAAGTGAAGACTTCCAGTAGTATTTAGTTCCTGAATTCAGTTGTCATTCTCCTCTCTTTGCCAAACAGCTAAAGCTGCAAGGGAAATGGAGAGGAGAATTTGAAAATTGGAAGGGAGAAATCTCACTCAATTTATTGATGGAAATTGAGGGGCAGGGGTGGGCAGTTATTATCACTGTATCTCAATGGGAGCAAAACATTTTCTGGCTTGAACAGGGGGCTGATTAAAATTGTAATCTATAATCAAGAAGACAAGCCTAGAAAAGCAAGGTAAAATTAGAGGAAATATTTTCTTTTCTTTGTTTATTTTTCTCTTCCTGTGAAACAGGGAGCCTACTTACTTGTATGATTCTTTCACAGTGCACTTCTTTGGGTAATTTGCTTTGTGCAGTTAAGGGACCAAATAAGCAGGCTTATATTTTTAATGTCTGTTAAGGATGAGAATGCTGGAAAGATTTATGGATAATATAATGAATATAAAGACATAATTTGTCCATCAACCAAAATATTCAAAATATTGTGTTTTATATGAATATACCCTTTTATTCATTCAGCCCTGCAGATGATATTTTAAAATATTCATCTTGTCAATGTATATGAAAACCAGAACACAGATGTAATTTGTTTTATTATTTATCCAACCAAGAAATCAAGACAACTAACAATAATTAAAATACAAAATGATGTTTAGGACATTTAATTGTTTAAATAATTATGCTAACATTTGCTGCAATGTAAAAGTGAAAAAGTCAGATTTTTATACTATTTTTTTGTCCAGCGTTCAGTTCTTTTCTATTAAGCAAGTATGTTTCATTTTAAGTTCAATTTCTTCTAATATGATATTTAATGTTCTGGGGGTGTTTGCTTTTTTCGAGGCGAGAATGTCCTGCACGTGCGGGATGCTGATTCCCAAGACAAGATACTTCGAGCTTTGCACATCCAGTTTGGGAAACAATACCCTTGGTGAGTAAAGCCATACAAGCGAGTATAAGAAAAATTAAGGTACCAAGAGAAAATATTACTATATGTTGCAGATTTTTTTAGAACATCATTTTATTACAAAGAGGCTAATGCAAGGCATTGGGAAAGCAGTTGTGTGATAAACTAAATGTTATCTTTGTATTAAAAAATGCTGTCCTACGGCGTAAACGACAGTTTGCATAATTCATTTCACTGATGTTTATCTGTTTGCTTCAGATTTACTACTACCATACATTTTTAAAAAATGCTTGCCTGTTTTTTTGCCCTGAAACATAAAGGATGGAAAAAAAGGACACAAAAGATTGTGTCCATAGATACTTCCCTTGGCAAATCCCAGATTCCCTGCCCAGCTAAATATTTTTTATATTAAAACAGTTAGCTGGCATCCTACAGAACACTAGTTTCTAGCACCATCTTGATTTTTAAGAAGACTCTTATAACCCAGATGTGATCCATGAGCTATCTTAGAGAATAAAAATGACATATGGCTGCATTTTGTATGGAAATTAATCTACTTGTCCAGATAATAATGAAAGTTGTTCAGTAAAATAAGCTTGTAGGAATGGAAAAAAGCATTTGGTAATCTGGGCTTTATAACTGGTTATGTCTGCTACTGCAACACTTTACAAATGGGCAATTTTCTCCCCTGCAGTCATTTTGCAGATTGCCAATCTTTTTTGCTGGCTTTGTATTTTATTACAAACATATATATGGTGGTGTATTTGTTTTCATGGACACCCTTAAGGTATCCATGAAATTATGGCATATTGACTCTTGATTGGTGAATGGTTATGATCTGGCATTGACAACTTACAGTTTCTTTACAGTCAGATAGTAATTATTATTTATTTGTAATAAAAATAAAAGTGTACAATAGTTAGCGTAACAATTTTAAAAGGTTATAATAGAAAAGTTAGAAATTTGTGTTGCATAACAATATATGACCTATAGTTCAGAATTTCTCTGATTTAATTTCCCTTGGTAATAGACAGCCCCAGGAATTTGTGACTGCTATCTGACAGTAGGATTGATGAAGTGTGATTTTAGAATTATTGATCTAATTTATGCCATGTACTTGGCATCCTAAGGTAGATAACTTTTTCTATTTAGGCTCACAATCATAGGTAGTCCTCATTTAGTGCCAACAATTGGTTCCAGCAATTTGGTCATTAAAGTAGTTCTAAGTGAAAAATCATGTAATCACAACTGTGCTTACAATTTTCTTTCCTTTGCTTCTTGAAACTTCCTTCAGATGAACTGGGGTTCTTTCTCTTTGAGGACACCTTAGTGTGGGATAAATAAACAAATTAAATTAAGAACCAAGTTACACATATGTTGCCATTAATCTGTGCATTGATGCTTAATTTAGAATTTGCAGGACAGATACCGAAGAACAAGAAAAAAAGCAAATATACTATTATTATCAGATATAAGCCAAGCTGATTAGCTGACAAAAAGGTACACAGATTATTAATGCTATCATGGTTCTATTAACATTAAAATTAAACAATAAGATAGCAATTCTCTGCACATTTACTTGGAAACCGATCCTTTTGGATATAGTAAAAAGGCCAGGTCTTTAGGCACTTGCGGAAGGATAGCAGGGTGCATGTCTTCCTCTCCAATGAAAATAAATACAAGCATTAATTTCTTTCTTACTAATTATCCCAGCACCATGCTGAGCATTCCTAGCTCAATGTTGTAAATACATTCATGGACAATTTTTAAATAACTTTTTCAAGATTTATCCCTCCTGGCATCTCTCTTAGTGTACTCACAATCTGAATGTATAGCTTTGCCTTGTAAGATACTTTCCTTCTGTTTTAAAATGTTATAATTTCTTCCATGTGATGTTACAGTTCAAAAATATATGGTGATGGAAATGCTGTTCCAAGAATTCTGAAGTTCCTTAAATCTATTGACCTTGAGGAACCCCTTCAAAAGAAATTCTGCTTCCCCACTGTAAAAGAAAATATTTCCCAAGATATTGATCATATCTTAGAAACCCAGAGTGCACTGGCAGTGGATCTGGGTGGAACGAATCTCCGAGTAGCAATTGTCAGCATGAAGGTAATTATAAATCAGAATAGATGATATATCCACAGGGAGGTGTCTTGCTGAGAACAACATACTTATAATTTTAAGTACCATATTTTTTGGAGTATAAGGTTTTGAAGAGGAAAATTTTAAAAAACGTTTTTGCACTCCACAAACCTCCCCAAAACAGCCTAGTTTTTCGTGAAAATGGGGCCATCCCCCCCCCCAAAGGCATGAATAGCCTTTAGGGAGCTTGCAGAGTGCTCCTGGGATGGGGCAAAAAGAGCAAAAAACGCCGCATTTTTTGCAAAAACGGGACCGTTTTTCATTTTAAAAAGGGCATGGATAGCCTTTAGGAAGCTTATACAGTGCTCCTGGGGGTGGGGGGCGGGGTAAAATTGAGCAACAAATTGACCGTTTTTTGCTCATTTCTGCCCTTCCCACCCCCACCCCCAGGAGCTCTCTAAAAGCTTCCTAGAGGCTATGCACAGCCATTTTAGTGAAGGGGCGGGGTTTCAGGAGGCAAAAAATGCTGTATTCAGTGTATAAGACGCACCCAGATTTTCAGCCTCTTTTTTGAGGGAAAAAGGTGCGTCTTATACTCCAAAAATACGTTAGTATAATATCCTTGCATGCCGTCTTACTAAAATGTGGCAGCTTCTTGTAAGAGGGTAGCATGTTGGTAATCAATACATATTCGGGGGGGGGGGGGAACCCTCTGATACCAGAATATGGAGGAAGAAAAGACAAAATATGTAGAATATAACACAATGTTCCAATGAATACTGATCGATATCAATTCTCTATAAAATAAAAAATTTTAAAAATATATAACATGTTTTGGTGTTCAGTATGCAAATTAAATCCCATTCACTATCTTTCAACCTAACCTACCCCTGTTGTGGAGGTAAAATGAGACTAGATCCCGTATCATGAAGTCCTGGATAACAGGTAGAATATAAATGTAACTAAATAATTCCAATTTTCAAATACTCCATTACACTGTAGTGCAATGTATACATTAGATGAATTGGTTTAAGTGAAACAGTGCTCTAAAACCAAATGAAGATCTATTATATGTAGATACAGCCTGATTCAGAAAACACAGTGTGGACTATGTAAAATATGAAGAATTTAAAAAAATAGTAGATGGGTATGAATTCTGTTTTGCACTGCTACTCACAATGTGGTCTTGGACTCCCATGTCGTAGCATTGGAACTGAATAAACTATTTTTAACATGCATTGTAAAAATTGCGGTTGATGGGCATTGTTTAGCAGAGTCATTTCTCTCTTCACTGTAACAGAGTATAATGGAACTCTTTTTAAATAGTACCTTCTATAAAGTTTAGGCCTCCTAAGAACAGGATGTTTGTCCCCTTAAGACTCTTGCTTCATTAATTTTTAACTGATAGGATTAATTTAATTTAATTAATTTTTAAAAGATCTCAAACCAAGATTGCCTTACATTGTTCCTTTCTTGTTGCAAAAGGGATTAATCATTCTCATCCCCTTTGCAGGTAAGACAATAAGCTGAGATTGAGGTTGGGCATGTGGTTTGTCTGGCTAGGAATGTGCAGACTCACATGCGGAGACTTCTCTTTTCATATAGTTAGTCCTCGACTAATGGCCACAATTAAGCCCAAATTAACCATTGCTAAGTAAGACAGTTGTTACGTTTTACCCCATTTTACAACATTTTTTTACCACAGTGGTTAAGTGAATCACTGCAGTTGTTAAATGAATCAGACAGCCTTAAACAAATCCTGTTTCTTCCATTGTTTGTTGGAGACCACTGGGAAGATTACAAATGGTGATCACATGGTCCCAGGTCACTGCAATCATCATAAATACATGCTGGTTGCCAAATGCCTGAATTGTGATCATATAACCATGGGGATGCTGTAATGGTCGTAAGTGTGAAAAACAGTGATAAGTCACTTTTTCCAGTGCTGCTATAATTTCAAATGGTCACTCTACAGGGTTGCAAGCCGAGGCCTACCTGTATGCAACAAGTTTTTGCTTTCTGCATGGAATGTGTGTCTCATCTCTTCAGTTTTGATTCTGACCGGTCAATAAGAATTGACAATGGCTTGATGGCACATAGTCTATCACTCTACTGTATTTGATGTCCTCAAAATAAGAGCTTGATGGGATTTTCTCTTTTCTTAGGGTGAAATTGTTAAGAAATACATACAACTGAACCCTAAAACGTTTGAGGATAGAATAGAATTGATCCTTAAGATGTGTATAGAAGCTGCCTCAGAAGCAGTAGATCTGAATTGCAGAATTCTGGGTGTAGGTAAGTTTAATAAGCATCATATTTTTTGCTTTATGAAATGAAGGCAAGAATTAACCATTGTGCCCTAATGTTGTTGTGCATTTCAAATATAATAAAATGAATTATTTGCTAAGTGCTGAATTTTACAAACAGGAATCTTGATGTTTATAGACTGCAAAATGAATTAATATATTGAAACTGGCATATAGTTCTCAGAGCCAGTTTGGTGCAGTTGTTAAGGCACCAGGTTAGAAACTGGGAGACTTGAGAGTTCTAGCCCTGCCTTAGGCATAAAGCCAGCTGGGTGACTTTAGTCCAGTCACTCTGTTTTAGTTCTAGGAAGGAGGCATTGACAAAATACTTATGAAAAACTTTCCCAAGAAAACTGCAGGGACTTCTCCGGGCATTCTCCAGGAGTCAAAACCTGACCCAGAGACAATAAATAAATAACATCTTCAAGTCCTATGCCATATATATTTCATAATAAGTTGTACTTCTGTAGGTAATTAGAAATTGTATATATAGTCTTTGATCATACTTTCCCCCTCAAAATTATAATAGCAGAAAAGGCATTGATTGAGCATCAAGAGTAAGATTGAAATAAGTAGGACAGCTCTAAATTTTTGAAGATTTTGGCCTGTCTCGTATTTTTGGTGTGATACTGTCTTGCATTTTTTGAATGTGATACTATATGGATATGGTATGATCAACAGGATATATGGGAATTCAGACAATGTCTCTCTGCATCTTATTAGATAATGAACATTTAAACAGCAAATGGTGGCTTGAATTACCAAATGGCAACAGTTTTTACTTATTTGGGGGTTTATTGAAGAATTCTTCTTACAATTAAAAGTAATGTAAAACATGTCTGCTGGACTTAGTTGTTTTGTTGTTGAAGGAAGTTGTTCAGGTTTTTTTTTTCTGAATGGGAAACTAACACTTAACAAAGCTTCATTTGGGATTTTTTTTTAAAAAATGCTAGAGTTTGAGTTTGAGTTTCAGTTTCATTTTATTTATATGCCGCCCTATTCCCTGCGGGACTCAGGGCAGCGCACAAACCCGAAGGAGCGGAAGGGAAAAACATAGAATTAATAGAGTTCTGTTCTTCATATAACTTGATATATGCTGTGTGCCTCAGGCATTTCTACCGGTGGAAGAGTAGATCCTCGAGAAGGTGTTGTTCTTCATTCCACAAAACTTATTCAGGAGTGGAACGCTGTTGACTTACGGACACCAATATCAGATGCCCTGCATTTGCCAGTCTGGGTGGATAATGATGGCAACTGTGCAGCTTTAGCAGAAAGAAAATTTGGACACGGGAAAGGAGTGGAAGACTTTATAACCGTTATCACTGGCACAGGTATCGATTTCCTCAAACTTCCGAAAGGAGTTTTCAGTCTTGGTTGGAATCAAGTAATAATTCCATCTTGTACTTATTCAAATGTTTTATTTATTGTAATAGATCATGTGTAATCTCTATCCAGCTGTTGGGTACATGATTAAATCCCCTTAAACTACAGGGAATGTCAGATTTGGGCCAGGAATTGAGATTGGTGCAAATAATAGGAAATTTATGTGTTGTGTTATTTTATTAGATTTAAACTGATGCAAACTACTGGGCAGTGACCACCTGATCTGCTAAATCCTTGGCTTTGGAATAGCCCCTCCATTGCACCTTGTGTGAGTCAGAGAAGGTTTCTCATGATTCATTTCCAATTCTAGAATATAAATCAGGGAAAAAAAGATAGAATTCCTCTTTCTCATTGTATAGCATACAAAGATTAAAAGGTTAACAATGCATATAATAATTATATTTCCAGGAAAATCAATTCATTATTAAAAGAAATTCAAATATTTGAAATGTAAAAATGGTGTTTTCAAGTTACTTTGTTTTTACAGTAGCAACACTCTTCAAATCCATCTTTCATCTCTCCAATAATACTGGCAAATGTTGACACATACCTCTGTCAGTATAACGCATATATTAATACTACCTTCAAAGACAAAAACCATGAAATAGATGGACAGAAATCTTCATTTACTCTTACATATAAATGTTTTGCAGTTGGCATTAACGAACACTGAGGACAATATTTTAAAAAGTTCAATTGAATAATACTGACTTTCAATAAAATATTATTTTATTATTTGTATTAAGAGTATAATGTTATGAAGAGGTGGGGGAAAGGAGGAAAAACTGATAAATGGAGCATTGGATAAACAAACAAACTGAAGAATATCAAACAAGAATGGACCAAGCGAGGATGGGAGCAAGGGTGATAAATTGAAAAATAAATTGGATGGACAGAGCACCATCAAACACTGAATCACTCAAATAAAGTCTGAGCAATAAAGTGTGATGTTATATTTGCCTATGATAAAGGAATCCCTTGGAAAGCTATATATTTTCTTATCTTCAGAGTTCAGCAACAATGTCCCGATGTTTTTCCTTTCAGGTATTGGTGGTGGAATCATTCATCAAAATGAATTAATTCACGGTAGTTCTTTTTGTGCTGCTGAACTTGGGCACATTGTGGTAGCAATGGATGGACCCGAGTGCCTGTGTGGGAACCATGGCTGCATAGAGGCATATGCTTCTGGAATAGCTTTGCAGAGAGAAGCTAAGAAATTACATGATGGTAAGTAAGGTGCTGTCCTGTTGTTTATAGCCATGTTCACTAGCAGGGTGTGCATAAGCAGCCTAAAAAAAGTTCACATACATTTGGCATTTAATAGCTGCCATTTATTAATTAAGGTAGCAGAATGAATACTTCTGCTTTTACATGGGTTAACTTTGTTTCCCAAAGCCAAATTAATTAATAGAAGTTTAACTGAAAAACAAATCTAGCATGCCAATATCCACACTGATCTAAAATTAATTATAAACTACAAACATCATCTTGCAGGAAATAGATCTCTTGGTTTATACTGTATAAGACATAATATAGATGAACAATTTCATGATTTCAAAAACTGGACACTAGAGGGGACTAAAGATTTTAAATAACGATATAAAGGCCGGTGGATGGTGCAAAACATTTGGTCAATAAAAATACGGAAGGAGACTTTGAAAGGATGGACTTAGATAATAGTAGCCACAGTATCAACAAAGTAATGATGTCTGTTTCTATGAAGAAATGTCAGATGTAAAACAAACTTTATCTGGCAAGATGGAGATTAGTATCAGAAGTGGATTTACAATCGACAGGGAAAGTTAATGGTTTAGAAAAAGATCTCTTACCGGATCTACAACAGAAATTGTCTGAGATTTTAAAATTTAAAAGAGAAATACAAAGTACAAACCAAGAGAGTGTTTTGGATTTAGAAGGATTTTATTGAAGTAGGATTTTAAGAGGCTTCTTAAAGCCTTGAAGAACTCTTGGTGATGGGACAAAGAAAAAATGAAGAGAAATCAAATGCTATGTCAGTATTTGAATGAACTAAAGATTAAAGTAAAAGGAAGAAAAATAAAGTTTTTTTTTCATCAAAGTTAGAACAAATATGTTGTTACTTCTAGCTACTTTCATGCACTTTGTGCTGATGTCAAGCTTGAAAAGATGATGTTTTATTATTTTTTTCATACATAAATAAGATATGGGATAAAGAAATAAATGTAACTTCAGAGGTAGTGGAGAGTCACTAAATTTGTTTATAGTTGCTGAAATGAAGATGAGTTCATTATGTATTTTTATTATATTTTTACTTTTCTCATTTTTTTGCACTTTACTCTTTTCTATTCATTCTTTAAGTTTAACTTATATTACATTTTACTATTATAAAAAAATCTTAAGAAAATGTATCATATGTGGATATGAATACAGTATGTGCATTTATAGGCAATTGCATTAATTAAAATTACATTTGTGAATGTAAAAAGAGAAAAAAGTGGATTTCCTTGTCCATGGGAATTTAAGAACTTTCTAAGAACTTAATGGAGATAAAATCCAGCATTAGGAAAGCGAGGGTTAAATCTGCATTTGCATTGCTTAGTCAGTTTGCTGGTTAAAAAAGCAACAATAGATTAGGACTATTCCACTGTTTCCTGATATTTATGTGGAGTCATTTTACATCTGTAGGAAACCAGTGAGATTTTATGTCAGAAAATAGAGATAAAACTTCCAGATACAGAAAAAGCTAATTTTGTATGACATAGCTAGATTAGATTCTTTGTGATTTTTTAAATGATTGGTAAAATGTAATAATCAGCATTCTCTGTTTTGCCTCTTAATTACTAATTCTGCTTTCTTCCATTTTTTCTCTCCAAACAGAGGATTCATTATTGATTGGAGATATGTCTATGAAAAAAGAAGATACAATAACTGCTGCACATCTTATTCAGGCAGCTAAACTAGGAAATTCAAAAGCTGACAATATTGTTAGAACAGGTAAAAATACAAGCCTAAGACTGAAATCTTTGTTGGAATATTGGCTAGTGGTATATATTGCTGTAGAATCATCCTTGTTTGCTTCTGTTATAAAACAATACCAAAAATAGGCCACCTTGTTCTCCCGCTAATCATTTTAACTTTCCTTTGGAAATGCAAAGAGAGGAAAAAAATAGACCAGGCAAGATAAGGAGGGATAGAAGTGAAAAAAATATAGTTAGAAGTGCAGAGAATCACCTTAAATACAATTGTGCAAAGCTTTGATAGGTTATTTACTATGCTAGCAGTCCACCAGAATCACCCTGTGAAAGTGGTTCTTTGTAGCCCTTCTTGCCAATGTTCCCTCTAAGCTGCGCGCCTGCGCGGCCATGCAGGTAACAAAAAACACCGCGCACAAGTTTAAAACTGCAGCGCAGTGTTTTTTAATGTCTTTAAATGTGACTAAAAATATCCCCCCTCCCTCCCTTCTCTCTCTGCACCGAACTCTGTCCTCCACCTGGTGATTGGTGAAATCTAGGAAGACTCTGCCCGGAGACCGATGACGCTGCAGAAGGGAGAATTCCCATTGGTCCTCTGGGGCTTCGTCAGTTCCTGGGAAAATGGGATTCGCTGGTTGTAGCCTGCGTTTCTCTGCACATCGGGGGTTTCTCAGGCATTGCCTCGTCTGAAGCCCCATTCTGGGCTCAGCAGTTTTTCTACGATCCCTTCGCTTTTTTAGTAGTACCAATCTATTCAACTCTTTCCTTTCCCTTTCTGTCCTTCTAACTTCCTTTCCTTTTCCTTTCTCTTTTTCTTTCCTTCTTTTCCATTTCCTTTCCTTTCTCCTTTCCTTCTTTTCCATTTCCTTTCTTCTTTCCCATTTCCTCTCTCTTTTCCTTTCCTTTCTCCTTTCCTTTTTCCTTTCCTTCTTTTCTATTTCCTTTCCTTTTTCCTTTCCTTTTCTTGTTTCCCATTTCCTTTCCTTTTCCTCCCCCTCCCTTCCCTCCCTTCCTTCCTGGGGGTCTGAGGGAGAGGGAGGGGACCCTTTTCCTCCTTGCCCCCCTCCCCAACATCTGCTCTGATGGCAATTATGGCTAAAAAAAATTCAGGTGCTCAGGCATGAAAATGTGCTCCACGAACACTATACTTTTCCGCACACACTGAAAGAAAATTAGAGGGAACATTGCTGCTTGCACTTCTACATTTGAAACTAAATTGATTACTTTGTATTGCTTCACTTGTTTCTAAAGCTTGTTCTAGCTTGTTCTAGTTAGTTGCATTTGTTTAACAGATGAACAAAACTTTTTCCAGAAGTTTGGGGTGACACTTGAGGCTTTGGAGTAACAATATCAAGTATTTTATTAAGGCAAAACATGTTGCTTCTTTGGTGGAACAAGATGACCACATTGCCTCTACAACTTAGAGCATCTCAATACCATAAAACCAAGCTGCTTGGCGAGTATTCAGCTAGTATTCTCCTGTTAATGGAAGAAGTCTTATCAGTAGAATAGAAAAGGGAGCCTTTTTATGAATGGAGAGTAGTCTTAATTTCCGTTTCTTTGGAGGACAAGGCCTCATTTAAATTTTGAAGCATACTTGCTAGCATAGAATCATAATCCTTGAAAACGTAAAAGAGATTTTACTGAAACCTGTTTATGTAATCTGAATATAGTAGAAACCATGTTTGATAGCTTCTTTCTTCTTCTTCCGTCTTTTCCTGTGAAAATAGACTCAATCCAATTTTAAGAAAATTATATTTGTGCCTAAAGCAACAGTTCTATAATCTAATCCACAGAATAAATGGAAACACTTTTTTTAAAAAAAGTTAGAGCATTATTAATATTACTGAGAACAACTAATATAAGGATTATTGGCATTGTGATAGGAGTTGGGAGCCATGAATTATAGTCCTGCCTTAAACACAAAGCTGGCTGATAAATTCAGGCCAATCCCTCTCACAACCTTAGGAAGATACTTGCCACAGGCCACTTCTGAAAATGTTGCCAGAAAAATTGCAGGGATTTCTTGGGAGGCAAAACTGACTGCAAGGCACCAACCCCGCCCCACACCATTATGACCACTGTGGTCATTACTACTCAAACCTATACTTTTCCTTTTCTTCAGGCCTCTCTGAAAGTTTCAGTTACACCCTCACCCATGTATGTCTTATCTCTAGTGTCCAGATTTGATGGTTTAACAAACAATGGAAAACAGGAATTTGGATTGTACTGGCATATATCTGACTGTCATAAAACAACTTTTTATTAGTGAAATCATACTTTGAAATTCCACAGGGGTTCTAGGACTTTTTCTCTATTTTTTTCCTTTAATCTCAGCATACTGTATTTTACTTTTTTAAATTGTTAGTAGTTCTCAAAAATAGTCAATGAATTTGTAAAGATACAAAACGTCTGTAATGTTTTGGAGTATATTCCATAATAAATTGTTTTTATCACAATTAGTTGTTATGTGACTCAGAATGTAGTCACATAATGTAGATAATTGCTTTATTTGGGACAGTTGAAAGTGGTGTGAAAGAGGCAGCTGCTAATTTATGGTTCTCTTACCAATAAGAGTTCTGCACATTCTGTTCAGAGAAGATGGTGAGAAAAAAAAATGTAGCCATATACCAGCATGTTGGGATTAGTACATTTCCAAGAATTCCTTGCCAGCATTGGCAAAAGCAAGATGGGTGCTTTGGTTCCAATATCTTGCAAGAACTCAGATGGAAAGACTAGCATATAATAAGGAGCTTCTTGCAGACATTTCATTACCAAAGTAGGTAATGAAAAGATGTTCTAGCACTGAAGATGTCGCCTAGTTTGGTAACGAAACATCTGCAAGAAAAGCACCAGGCTCAGAGAACATCAAGGACCCCACAGTTCAACCTTGAGCTGCAAATATTCTCTTCTATCGGAAACAGTCTCTTTCTTATATAACTCCTGTTCTTATGTCCTCCCTAACTGACATTTTCTTTTTTTTTTCCCCTCACAGCAGGAACAGCCCTGGGCCTTGGAATTGTTAATGTTCTGCACACCATAAGTCCTTCCCTGGTTATACTTTCTGGTGTCTTGGCAAGTCATTATGTCAATGTTGTCAGAGATGTGATCCGTCAGCGAGCGTTATTTTCTGTCCAAACAGTGAATGTGGTTGTCTCAGACCTGAGTGATCCTGCACTGCTTGGAGCCGCTAGCATGGTTCTGGATTATACAACACGCAGGATATACTAAACACCGGGGAATAAATAGAAATCCTTATGAAGTTTGTAACAGGAAAAATATTTCCTACTGATGTTGGGGTTTTTCGTTGTTTCATATGGTTTTATGGAAATCTCACCATAAAAATTGTTCCCATCCACCCTTCCTTTATTTAATTTCTATTTTTATATGCTGGAATATCACTAGAAACACAGCTCAGAAGACGACTCTCTTGTAGACAAAATGAAATTAAACACTTCTTGGGAGCTACAGATTGTAAAAAAGAAAACAACGTACTTCTTCCTAATGTATTTTCAAACTTTTTCTCAGTAGGTGGTAATTTTGGTAACCTTTGTTAAGCAAAGAAGAACTATCCCTGACAGATATATGTAATCATTTCCATCTCTGCAGAGATGGGCAGGTATGATCTCTGTGTGAGAGAAATTGGAAACATGTCATGGTAAAATACCACATTATAATGTGATGATCAATGAGTTCATTAATTAGAATACAATCTTCTTAGGATACATGTTCAGTTTCAAAGTGCTTTTCTTTCAGAAATGCCCTTCAGAAATACTGAAGTACAGAATCATCATAACTGACAAATTATGTTGGCCAGTAGTTACTGCAGCTGGAAACCCCATAAAAGGCAAAGGTTTGGAGACATATAATGTTGCTAGGATGGAAAAGAGTATAAAATGTATGCTTTGTCTCAGTTCTCAGTAGTAATATTTTATATACCTCCTCTGAATTGTGATTCCTACCACCTTGTTTTCATGTTCTTTGGTTTTCAGTCAGTCTTTCATGTTTTGGAATTAAAGTGTCAGTTGCACAAGTCATTATGCTTTCATTAATTGATCCAGTTTGCTAGATATCTGGCTGAAGAGATAGATCTGGTTAGCTTGGGGCTTGAGAAAACATTGGCTTTTTGAATCAAATCCATATTTAATCTGGCTTTCAGAAATCTGTCAGACATGTTTTTGTTAGCCTCACTATGCTCACCAAGTCCTACTTTAAAAAAAAAACATACTGTGGTTTTACGGGCATTTGATTTGTGCTTACAAAACCCAGATATATAGAAAGTGAATATAGTGGATCATATATTAGAGATTTTGGAAGCTAGAAATTCCGAACCTCATAGTGTGCTTAAGGCAACTTTCAGTTCTTTATGCGGTTATCATAGAAAATAGTGCAAGGTTGTAGTACTTGGGAACCATTTATGTTTGAATTTGGAGGCTTTTGCCTCCAATGTGGGTCCCCCTCCTCCTATTTTAAAGGCATGTTTTAAAACAAAAACAGCATGATAGGATAGCAGCAATAACAGAATTGCTTTAGGAATCTATATCTACCAGAGTAACTGCTTTCATTTGTAGTATGTATAAGTGCATCTGATTCTTATATTTGAACACTTTGGGATCTAAACAATTAAAGATACTTGATTAGAACTATTTAAAAGTTTACTACTTCTAACTTGTTTATTAGAGGGTAAACTGGGATTTGGAAAATAATCCTCCTTTAAATGCTTTGGGTTATCTAGATTTCTGGTTAAACAAGAAGGTATCTTCTTGTTCTTTTGTGATTCTGTGCTTCAAATTCTCAAATCAGCACTAAAGAAATCTCAGTCCTCTGGATCAAATTTGGAATTTGTGCAGCAGAAAATCTGTCATACTAGTGAATTCTGTTCCTCAACTGACAGACACAACTGGATATAACTCAAGGAAAAAGAAATTAGAGGTATTTGACAAATGAGTTTTTGCTAGGATTTTATGACTCCTTAGTCTAATAATGTAAGGAAAAAGAGTGTTGGTCCTCACCTGATATGCCTATTCTCATAATGGGGAAGTAGCATCCAGACTAGGTTGACCTCATCCACTCATTGATTGGACTTAGTCTAATAAGACTGTTAAGCCATACTCCTGTCGCTAGGCAGACCCAGCTTTTGACGAAGGACTTCCATCAGACTCGATGTGTCATCTTCTCCAGGTAGGTTGTCAAAGTCTTTGATATAAATTCGATTCTTTAATGATGTCTGGTAACAAGTAGGTTAATACCCATGTAACACTCTACCAAGATCAGAACTCTATGGGAGGCGCTGGATGCTACTTCCCACTATGAGAACAGACATATCAGGTAAGGACTAACGTCCTTTCTCCATAGTGGGGGAAGTAGCATCCAAACTGGGATCTACCAAAGCTGGAGATGTCCCCTGGGAGGGTCTATGCATGGTCCATTAGAAGCCCCTTTTCTAGAAGGGGCTTCCGCCGACGCAAAAGAGTCCAATTTGTATTTTTTTTATAAAGGGAGAAGGAGATGCCCACGTAGCTGCCCTACAGATCTCCAACAAAGAGGCTTGAGTCGCCCAGGTGGCCAAAGTGGCCACACTTCAGGTGGAATGGGCGGTGATCCTCCCTGGAGCCTGAGCCCCCTGTGACTGATACGCTGAGGCAATGCAGGCTCACAACCATCTGCCAATGGTGGTGTATGTAACCTTTTTCCCTAATGAAACCGGCTAGAAAGAGACGAACAGTGCCTCTGATTTTCTAGTTGGCAATGTCCTCTTGTCATGTTCTCATGTCCAAGATGTGCCATTTCCTTTCTAAGCTGTGACGGGTCTGGACAGAAATTAGGCAGAACCAGTTCATGGGTTCAGTGAAAACAGGAGCATACCTTGGGTATGAAGGAGGGGTCCAGCCATAAAACCACTCTTGTCACGATGAAATATACACAGATGGTCCCTGGTTGACAGTGCCTGCAGTTCAGATATCCTCCTTGCAGAGCTGATGGCCACCAAAAAGGCCACCAAGGTTAGAAACCTGAGAGACACTTTCTGTAACAGCTCAAAAGTGGTACCTTGTAAGAGCATCCAGCACCATGTGCAAATCCCAAGAAGGGTACCTATGTACCATGGGCAGTTTAAGATTAGACGCCCCTTTAAGAAATCATTTCACAGTGGGATGCTGTGTTAATGACTGCGACTTGCTGCAAACCAACACCGAAGATATCGCTGATACTTGTCTCCTAATGGTATTAGGAGCAAATCCCTTATCCAGTCCCGCCTGGAGAAAGTCCAAGACCTGTGGAATTGTAGCCCGTACAGGATCAAGGTTCTTACTGGCACACCAGGAGCAGAATGAACGGCAGGTCGAATTGTAGATCCGCTCCATGGATGGCTGCTTGGATAATCTGTATGACCCTGGAGGAATTATTGTTCTCCCTTGGGATGCTCTGCTCAAGTGCCAGGCGGTCAACTGGAGCCACTGAGGGTCTAGATGCTCCACCAACCCCTGGCTGAGGGAGATCATGTCCGAGGGATCCTCCAGGGTCTGTCCACTGAAAGTGATTGAAGGTCAGCGAATCAAGGTCTCCGGGGCCAATGAGCAATCAACACAACCTCCACCCCCTCCCCTATGATCTTCTGTATGACCCTCAGAATCAGGGGCAATGGGGAAGGAGTCCCCGAGGCCAACTGCAGCGGAGGGTGTCCACTCCCGCATTCATTGAAGGGAACCGGGAGTAAAACCGAGGGAGCTGAGCATTGAGTGGGGTGGCAAATAGATCAACCAATGGGCTGCTGGAAAAGGTCCACAATTGCCTGAAAGATAGATGGGTGAAGCTGTCACTCCACATTGTCCACCATGGTCCGGCTGAGCCAATTGGCCCGTACATTCGCCACCCCAGCTATATGCTCCACGGTAATTAATAGTAAGTTCCTCTTGGCCCAAAGCCGCAGTCTCTTGGCCTCAGCATGAGGGACTTTGACCTGGTCCCTCCCTGTCTGTTTATATGAGCCCTGGTGGCTATGTTGTCTGTGAGAATAAGTATATGTCTGGCACTGACAAGAGTGGCAAAACTGCCATAGAGCTAGGCGGACCGCTCTGAGTTCCAACCAGTTGATGTTGTGAATTAGTTCCGCCTGGCTCCATTGTCTCTGTGCCATGAAATGAGCCCCCCAGCCAAATAGACTGGCGTCCGTTGTGACCATCAGTCGGTCGAGTCCTGAAGTATTCCCCTTTGATGATAGCTGGGGACCTCCACCATATTAGGGAATGGGATACTTCTGCTGGTAAGGTGACCCTGGCCTGGGAGCAGGTCATGTGCCTTCGCTGAAATGGTAAAAGAAACCATTGAAGGTGTCTGGTATGCAGGCGCACCCAGGGAACAATGTCCATGGTACCCAGAAGCTTGGATAACGTAGTTAGGGACACTGTCTCTCCCTGGTGATCTTGGAAGCCAACTCCCTGAGGTTCTGCTGTCTCTCAGGTGACAGGAAAACTACCTGACACTGTGTCTATCAAAGCCCCTAGGTGAATTAACCTAATAGTAGGTTGCAGGTGGCTCTTGGCCAGATTAATAGAAAAGCCATGGGCCTGAAGGGTCGACATGGTGACTTCCAAGTTTCTAAGGGCCGCGGTAGCAGAGGATGACTGTAATAATATGTCATGCAAATAGCACTGGAGCTCTATTGGTACCTGTCTGAGGTATGCTGCCAGTGCCGCCAATACAGTCGTAAAAACCCAAGGGGCTGATGATAACCCAAAGGGTAAGGCCCTGTGAGTTAGGCATTGGGCCCGAAGTGGGAGATGCCCATTGTCTCTTAACCAAGTCAACAAAAATCTTTCGAGTGGGTACTGTCTCAGCTTCAATGGCTTGTTCAGCAAAAATGGTTTCCGCTGATATCCCCTGGGGTTGAACGCTTGTGTCAGATGGTTTGTCGCCAAATTTGGCTGAGGCCTTTGCTTTAAATAAAAGGAATTTGAATAGAGATGGTTGGAACAGGCCAGAAAAGGCAGGTTTGGTGGGGGCCATGCCGTCATCCTCGGATAGGTTTTTCTGTCTAATTTCACCTTCCTCAGATCCTGATTCCTGATCTTCCTGTGACTGAGCAGCAGACACAGGAAGATCCTCTGCAGGAATGTCCACTATCCCTGGTGGTCTAAGGGGAGCTGCCCCTGTGAGAATGGTCCTGTTTTTACTGCAGCCCAGCTGCTATGCCTTGTTGAATGGCATTGTCAATAATGTCCTGAAAATTGGGCATGCACATGGGGTACATCTGCTCAGGACGAAACCCTGCTGATGTGGATGGAATCATCGGCTCCACTAACTCAAGGACAGGGCGAGGCCCAGCTGGTGTGGTGCGCAGGGGGGACTGCTATCCTTGAACCGATCCCCAAAGCCCAAATGTATCTATGGGGATTCTGAGGTTGAGTGAAGTTTCCCCCTCTGCCCCTCCCCCAGGGGAAGGGAGCCCGAACTGTTGCCCCAGGGAAGGCCTTTTATCAGAGTCCGGGGCAGAGGAAACCTTTTTACTGCTGGCCTTTTAATAAATTCATTCAAGTGCCCTATCCTTTTGGCGCTCGAAGTTGAAGCTGGACTTGGAGGCTTTCTTGCCTTGTGTAGATTTGCAAATATGCTTTGTTTTGCTGAGGGCCCCCTCCCCTTGGGGAAACATCTGGCAGGGGCCCAGATCCAGATTTGGGGGCCTCTGGAGACTCCAGTGGGGTGGTGGCTGCAGTAGTAAGGACCTGGCTCCTCTCAGTGTCTGCGATGCTGCTGGCGGCCGCCATTTTCATTTGTGGCTTGAAATTGCCCCAAAATGGCGATTCACGCCTAAATCCACTCCAGCTCTGCAGCACGCACACCAAACAAGTGATTTGAAGCAGCATAGCTGCTTTGAGCTCAGCTGCACGCCGCCCCACTCAATTTAGCCTCTCGCTCGTCTTCCTGGGCGAAGCTGCCTCAGCCTGGCTCCAACAGTCAATTTCATTAAAGCAGCCTCCGCTGCACTCAGTGCCTTGTAAATCAGCCACACCAGTGCTCCGCAGCCATTTTGACACCCGCAGTCACCGCTCAACTCTGTGAGGAGCGGCGGAGCGCTCCTGCACCAGAACAAGGCAAGATATCTGAATAGTTGCTTTCCTTACTGAGTTAGAGCTCCATGTTCAGTCACAAGTACCAGCCAAGGAAAACAGTATGGAGCAGAACCGTTTGAATTTGGCCCGTGGCAGAAGCCCTGTCAAGTGACAGTTAGGCTGTGAGGGCCAAAGAGAGCTGTTTGCCACCCCTGAGGGGCTAAGGGCAAGGCTGCCACCACCCCGGATGTGGATTCAACAGTTTAGCCCAGCACTACTCACTATCCACAACTTCCAGTCAATTATTGATGTATATATATGAATTCCAAATATCTCTGAGAATTACTATGACACATCCGTCCTCATTGAAGGATTGAGTCGAAGCTGGGTCTGCCTAGCAACAGGGGCGTGGCTTAACAGTCTTATCAGACTCAGTACAATCAATAAGCGGATAAGGTCAACCCAGTCTGGATGCTACTTCCCCCACTATGGAGAACAGCCACTGCCTGAACATTTATAATGAATTAGTGTAAATGATGAGTTTTGAAAATACAGGGTGTGAAAAGTTATTCATGCGAAACAAAGTAGGATAGATTTCTAC